TCATTTATATATCTTTATTAATTTCTTTTAGATCATGATATTAAAAAATTACATATCTAATTAGATTATGTAATTTCAGTTTTGATTAAAAACAACATGTGGAATGAACAATTTTGGTTGCCTAGAAACACAACTTGGGAAGATTTTCTTGAACTTAAACAAAACGGTATTCGTATACCACAATTACATGATCTTATTTATGTTTATCCATTGGCTGGTATACTTTATATAGCAAGATTTTTATTTGAAGTGTAATTTCTTTTTTTTTTGTCACTTTCTTTTTAATTTTGACTTTCTTTTTGTAAAGTTGTATAGCTCGACCAATTGGTCGATTACTTGGTATTCAAGATAATCATCAACGTAATTCACGTGTTAGTCTATTAGGAAAATTTAGTGAATCATTTTGGCGTTTTACGTTTTATCTTAGTATATTTATATATGGTGTAATTATTTTACAAAATGTAATGAAATATTTTTCTTTTCTTTTATTTATGAAAAAAAAAAAAGAAAAGAACTTTGATATTTTTGTTTTCTATCTAAGAAATCATGGACATGGAATACACAAGATTGTTGGTTAGATTATCCAAATCATCCATTAACAGATGATATTTTTTGGTATTATTTGATAGAACTTGCTTTTTATTGGTCATTAATCTTTTCACAATTTATTGATGTTAAACGAAAAGATTTTTGGCAAATGTTTCTTCATCATATTGCAACAATAGGATTACTTTCATTTTCTTATATTGTTAATTTTGTACGTATCGGAACATTAGTACTTGTTATACATGATTGTGGAGATTATTGGCTTGAAGTAAGAAATTAATTGAAAAAAAGAAAAATATACATATATTGAATATTTATTTCAAGAGTGGTAAAATGGCCAAATATGCACGAGCACAAAAAATATGCAATGTGTTATTCATTATATTTGCGATTGTTTGGTTTATAACACGTCTATGTTATTATCCATATAAGTAAATATTTCTAATTAGTTCGAAAGGTAGCTTGTAATCATAGAGATGTTTTATATGAGTTTATGTTTTTTTTTTCTCAATATGAAATCATATTATTTTTTTTTTCCACAGATTGAATCAAAAAAAGAAGAACAAACATTTTACAGAAGAAATTAAAAGGGAGCATATTGCGAGTTATTACGAAGGACATAATTAATAAACTTTTTACTCTTTCTTATAGTAGTGAAGCCAGAAAAAAAAATTGTAGACAGTGGGGCTCAGCTATCCGTTGGCTTCATTACTAACTAAAAATAAAGCAGAATGCAAAAAGAAAAACAGAGAAAATTGCATATTGTAGTCAGTATTGAAATCTAATAAAAAAAACAATGTCTCAATCAGCTTCAACAAGAAATCCTACTTGCGATTTGTGTAAAGACCAGTGCGCTATAAAACGACGGGAGTTTTTTGTTTAATGAAATGTCATACAAGATAAGGTGCTTGTATAAATATGGATGAATAGATTAAAATATTTTGTCATATAAATTGTTTAGTTAAATGAAAAAGAATACTGTTGAAAGTTATTCTATTCAAATTTATTTATGCTCGACTTCTAATTTTGTCTACAATATATATTTTAATTTAATAAAATACAATCATCAAGAAATCTACATTGTATGATTGTAGCAAACGAAATTGTCTTTAGTCCACATAGTACAGAAATGTAAAAAGTTTCATTTTCTTTTTCGTCCTTGAGATGTTTAACATTTGATAGTGCGTTGGCAAGATGATGATAATGATAGCAGAGGTGAACTATTTGTATTCTTCTTCGCACATACTATCATATGTCAAACATTATAACACATTTCTAGAATGAAAAAGAAAAGGCAACTTTTAACATTCATATACTAAATTTGATAAAAAGAATTTCGTTTGTCGAAATTACACAATGTAGATTTATTCATGATTTTATTAAAATTTACAAGATAATTCATAAAGAAAGAGACGATAAAAAAAAATTCAATATTTCAAATCCGTTTTAATCAATCGGACTGGTTTTTGGTTCTCGGACATAGGGAGTTCGTCGAATTTTTTCCTTCATAAGAAAACTATTAAATAGAGATAAAATAGAACTAGCATTGGTGAGCTCAATAAGGAAATATATTACTGACCAAAATTATCTTACATTGTAATCTCACTCATTCGTAGGGCTAAATATTTGAAGTTTTTAGCATATATACTATCTTAGACAATTAGGTTCGTGCTACCAACCCGACTTTGATCGCTTGAGTTGAAGACGAATTATAATCTTTGACAAATCTTCTTACAGTGAGTTCTATAATTCAAGAAGGAAAGAAGCTTATGATAAGAGTCTGTCGGATCCATCACTTTTGGACTCGATCAGTTCAGGAACTAATCCAATCGGTTCTAATCAATGGATAGAGGATTTTATTCTTTCCGTTCCTACAACTTTTTAAAGATTCTTGATGATATCATTGATGTAGTATGAAACAGTTACTTACGTGCTGTAGGATGTAAATTTGATTCTAAACAAAATGTTCTACCTGCTAAGTTGATGAGTTGTATTGAAATAAATAAAAAAACATAATCACGTAATTCTATGAGACAATGCTTTTTTTGCGTCATGATTATATTTGCAAATATTTCTTATGAAATTCTAAAATCATATATCGAAAAATACAGAGTTTTGTGAAATGCTTGTTGTTTCAGAAAACTGTTTTTAAAAAATTAATTTGCATGATTTTTTTTTCATTTTTTTCAAATCGTCACAGTTGGGCGATTGAGTAAGTTTTTAATGTTTTAAATTTTTCTACGAGAAAAAAAAACTTACTTGAAAAAGAAATTCAACTTTTTTATCTGACTTTGTAGACAACTCTTAAGGCTACAAAGTGTCTATTGATAATTTTTTTCAAAAACAGAAAGTTTATCTGCTTTTCGTTAGCGATGTAATAGAGTACGAATATGCAAATGAAAAGTTCAAAGCCAATGCTAAACAATAAAACTCCTTCTTCAGAAATCTCTAGAAAGCCAATTTTTAAGAGGAAGAATTTGGTAGTGCAATCAGAACTTATTCAAAAAAAAATAACCTTTGTAATAAAACCAAAATCAAATAAGAGGTGAATAAGTTTGATTTTGCCTGGACAAGCTCGTATACTATTTTCAAAATGTAATAATAATTTTCCGCCCACCTTCTATTACCTTTTATGATTTTTTTTCCTAGTTACCATTTTATTTATATCAACATTGACTATATTTATCATTGAATATTGATATTCTCTCAACAAGCAACTGGCGTATATTTCATAAATATTTGTCATGACTCATTTCGTTGCATATAAAAATGCTGGCAATTCGATATTTGAGAAAACATTTTTTTTTTTATGTTATGATTGGATAGAGTGCGTTGACTTACCTGTAAAAAGATGATGTTTTACATATTCGAACAATGTTTGTCAAGCGAAACTTAGTTTTAAAAAATTAAAAAAGTCTAAGAAAATTGAATTACACTAAAATTATCGAATCTCGGTACTTTCAATATTAATCGAAAATTGTTTCTTTTTAAAAAATATGATTTTATTGTTCAGATAATCGGATTTTTAATAATTAAATACGAGTTTCGACTTTAGGGAAACCATAAGTTATAGATT